CTTTAGATCCAGAGAGGGAGAGCCACTGTGTGCTGAAGACCTGGGGAGGTACGGGGGAAGGATTGCATGGAGGGGATTGTAACCATGGCAATGAGATGACATATGATAGAATGAATGTAAAACTAATGTTCTCCCATGTAAAATATCACATAAATCACAATAAAACATTAAAAAAAAACACATAGAATAATGTATCATTTAGTAAATATATTAATGTGTTAACAACTCCAAGCTTTTAAAAACTTATCTACAAATAAAGGTTAATTTATATTTTGACCAGCTCTTTGTTTTTAATGATTTGAAAAGTTCATTCATTTCACTCATTGGACATCTTTTGTGAGTACATAATTGCACTTTGCAATTAAGTGAAATGTAAAAAATAAGAGATGTGTTTCTTTCATTTTACAAACCCTAAAATTAATATTCAAGACTTTTCTTTTGAAAGTAAAAATTTATTTGAGATGTGAATTTCTATTGTTAAAAGTTGCTAAAGCAGTTAAACTTTACATATGTATATAGCTAAGGAAGAATACCTATTATCAATATTGTAAACTATAAGATATGCTTATGATTTTTATATATAGTTAAGTACTATGACAAATCATATAATAATAAACTCAACAGTTAATAGTACTTGTATTCTAAAAAGAAATACTCTAGAGAACAAACAAGATGGTGGATCGTGTGGAAGTGCAGTAAGGAGATGTGTCAGCAACAACACAGAATACAGGACCAAGCAGGTCAGGGGATGGTCCCAGAACTCTGAACCACATATAAAGAAACATTTAGAAGGTTGGAAGGCTTACAGCTAGTGGAATTTGTAGCAGAAGCAAGAAATTCATTGTTTTCTAATTCAAGACTTTCAGCTGCTCCAGGAGCCGCCATCTTGGGTGAGACCAACCAAGCAAGGGAAGGGTCAGAGCAGCCACGGACGCCTGACAGAACCGCAGAGATAAAGGTGTGGCCATTCTTTTCTTTTGGTATCTGTTCATTGGTCCCTAGCTGTCTGCACACCTCCATTCTGGTGACTATAGGGGTGCCTGAGCTAGTGGACACCCCAACCTCATCCTGGGAGGTTCTACTATGCATGCACACAGATCTCCTTGAAATTTAAAGAGACAGTTTCCAATTAAAACAAAACGGCCACAGCCAGCCCTAAACTGTTTATAACTAGAAAAAAGGCCTGAGCAGGGATTGAGGAATGGGACAGGCAGACAAAAAAGGAAATAGGCTTAAAATTAAATCCTAAATTACGTTAAAATGACCAACAGTGGCATCTTGAAATTTCTCAAGAAGAAGAGTGAAAAGGGAAGCCTATTTCCTGATCACATCTACCTAGAGGCAATCAGAAAGCATAAAAAATGCCAAAATACATACCCATCTAAGTATTAAGGCCACAGATAACCCCTGAAGATGCCCAAAAAACAGAAGCACATGACCATATCTATACATGTCCAGAAATGAGATAAAGTGACTGAGGCAAATGAGCTGGAAATAGACCTACACTCCATACTGGAAGATGGGCAGGCTTTGGAGATGCCTGAGAAGGAATTCAGAAAAATGATTATAAAATGTATCAAAACACTATACAATGGAGTTGAGAAAAATAA